GTTAATGTACAATTACATGAGCAACATTATGGTTACTAGACTCCGTCCATCATCAAGTCCCCACCACATACCCCATTATAGTCACTGTCCATCAGTGTAGTAAGATGCTATAGAATCACTACTTGTCTTCTCTGTGTTATACTGCCTTCCCTGGGCTATAAAACCTTTTAAGACTTGGGGTGGGTGCAGAGATCTACTCATCTTGCGGCTGCCCAAGCCAAGCCTCATAAATGAATTCTTCTGCTGATTAAACCTGCTACCTACCAACCCGGAGGGGGTCTGCCTTTTTCTTTGGTCTCTCCCCGCCCTCTGATTTCAGATCATACCTGGGAAGCTCTCAAGGAGCTTGCAGACCAACACCTGCTTGTAAGCTTGGCCCTTGGTTGTTGTCTAGGAACTGGAATTTCAGGAGGGTTCCCAGCAATCCCAGAAGTGAGAAGAGTAGCTCACTGTGCCAAACTGTATAAACAATGTGGTTTATGGTGAACCTTCTGAGAGTCAAAGTTTGGACAGCAGTATGAAGAACCTTCAAAGTTTTCCTTCTGAGAGTCAAACTTTGGTATGTGGGAGGCAGTCAGACCTAAGTGACCAGCCCCTGTGAAGGCACTGGGTACTGAGTCTCTAAGGAGCTTCCCTGATAGATGACATTTCACAGGGGTTGCCAGAACTCATTACTGAAGGAAATAAACATGCCCAGAGAGAGGAGGACTCTTGGACGCTTGTGCGTGGTTTCCTCCAGACATCACCTTGTGGGCCTTGTCCCTTTGCTAATGTGGCTTTGCATCATGTTGTTGTCATGAATCATGACCATGGGTACAACTATACACTGAGTCACTAACTTCTAGTGAACCACCAAGCCTGGGGGGAGAGGGAGGGAGGGCAAACTGAGGACCCCCAACATAGTACCTTTCACTCATCTCATCCTAACCTATAAGGAGCTTAGGATTGTAACAGTACTTAATCCTTTCTTGTATACTTTTATTATCATATATTTTAATATATTAGGTGCTATAAGATATCATTATTATTTTATAGTCAATAGTGATATATCACAATTGATCTTCATTTCCCCTGCATCTCTGACCTTTCATCTAAAATCACTTTCCTTCTTCCCAAAGAATGCTCTTTTAGTATCTTCTTTACTATAATGAGTCTTCTAAGAAACAAATTATCTTAGTTTTTGAGTAAAAATATATTTATTCTATTTTTATTTATTTAAATTGAAGTATAGTTGATATACAATTTTATATTGGTTTCAAATATACAACACAGTGGTTCAGCAGTTATCCATATTACTAAACCCTCACCTCATCTATCTGTCAACACAGGAAGATATTACAGAATTGCTGGCTTTATTCTCCAAGCTGTACTACTAGTCCTGTGACCAACTTCTATTATGATTGAGAACTTTTGTACCCCTTTATTCCCCTCAACCATCTACCCCAACCCGTCCCCCATGGTAACCACTAGTCACTTCTCAGTGTTACGAGTCTATTGCTGTTTTGTTCACTTTGTTTTGTTTTTAGATTCTACAAATAAGTGAAATCATATGGTATTTGTTTTTCTCTGTCTGGCTTATTTCATTTAGCATATACCCTCTAGGTCCATTCATATTGTTGCAAATGGCAAGATTTCTTTTCTTTAATGGTTGAATAATATTGAATTGTATATATGTACTTTTTTTTTCCAATTATATAGGTCTATTAATCTATCATCTCCATCTACTGATGGACACTGTGATTGCTTCCATATCTTGGCTATTATAAATAAGGCAGCAATAAACACAGGAGTGCATGTATCTTTTTGAATTGGATTTTGTTTTCTTTGGGTAGATTCCTTACAAGTGGAATTACTGTGTTGTACGGTATTTCTATTTTTAGTGTTTTGAGGCCCCTCCATACTGCTTTCCATAGTGGCTGCACAGATTGGTATTCACACCAACAGTGTAAAAAGGGTTCCCACTTCTCCACATCCTTGCCAACACTTGTTATTTCTTGTCTTTGGACAGTGGTCATTCTGACTTCTGTGAGAGTGTATCTCACTGCGGTTTTGATTTGCATTTCTCTGCTGATTAGTGATGTGGAGCATCTTTTCATGTGCCTGTTGGCCATCTGTATTTCTTCTGTGGAAAAATGTTCAGGTCCTCTGCCCATTTTTTAATGGGGTTTGTTTTTTTTTGGTGTTGAAGCATATGAGGAGTTCTTTATACATTCTTGATGTTAGCACCCTTGCACATTTATTCTTGGTGGTTCTTTTTTCTGGTATAGAATCCTAGGTTTACAGAATTATTTGATGGCTTCTGTTTGAGAATGTCAGTCCAACTGCACTCTTTAATTCTTTCCCCTCTAGCTGCTTTATGGATTTGTCTTCTCAGCTTTGATTTTTCAAGCAGTTTTCTTTGTGATGCACTGTCTTTTATTTTTCCCCGCTTGGGTTTTAAAAGGACTTCAGTGAACTTGTGGCTTGATGTTTTTTGTCATTTAAAAAATATTTCAGCGATAATTTTTTTTCACAGTATTGTGTCTGTTCTACTTTCTCTTCTCTTTTTGTTGAAACTCTAGTTGCACAAATAATTAGGCCTTCTCCCTATATCTTTCTCTCTTAACTTCTCTTTTGTGTTTTCATCCTTTTCTATCTCTGTGCTTCATTTCAGATTTTTTTTGACCTATCTCTAATTCTCACTCCAACTCAGTACAGAACATATTAACTGAGTACTAATTTATTCTATTTTTCATTAATGGAATTTCCATTTTTAAATATTTTCAGTTCTATACTAAAATTCTCAATCCTGTTATCTCCATGAAAGTATTATATCTAAATCAGTTCGTTTTTGCTATGTAACAAATCACCCTCAAAACTTAGAGCTTAACCTAAGAAACAAACAAATCCTACCATCTGCAACAACATGGACGGAGCTGGAGGATATCATGCTCAGTGAAATAAGCCAGGTGGAGAAAGACAAGTGCCAAATGATTTCCCTCATCTGTGAAGTATAATAACGAAGCAAAACTGAAGGAACAAAACAGCAGCAGACTCACAGACTCCAAGGGACTAGCGGTTAGCAAAGGGGAGGAGTGGCGGAGGGTGGGTGGGGCGGGAGGGAGAAGGGGATTGAGGGGCATGATGTTTAGTACACATGGTGTGGGGGGGATCACGGGGAAAACAGTGTAGCACAGAGAAGGCAAACAGTGACTCTGTGGCATCTTCCTACACTGATGGACAGTGACTGCAATGGGGTGTGGGTGGGGACTTGATAATATGCGTAAGTGTAGTAACCACATTGTTTTTTCACGTGGAACCCTTATATGAGTGTATATCAATAATACCTTAAAAAAAAACTTAGAGCTTCAAACAATGGCCATCTATTTAGCTTATAAAATTCTGCCGGTTGGCACTGGGCTGGGCTCATCTGGGTGATTTTTCTCATCCTGGCTGGGCTCACTCATGCTGCTCCAGACAGCTTCCAAGTCGGGCTGGCTGGTCCGCTGATCTCTGCTAGTTCTGTCACACGTCTAGGGGCACCTGGCTGTAGGATGGAATGCCTTGGCTGTCCTCCACGTAGTCTCTTGTCATCTGGCTGGCTGAGCTTCTTCACATGGCTGAAGCAAATTTCCAAGAGCAGAGTGATCAAAACCTCTTGTGGACTAGGTTGTAAATGGCACAACTTGTCAAAACAAGTCAAAAGCCAGTCCAGATTCAAGGGGGTTAGAAAACAGACGGCTTCATCTTGATGGGAAAAGCTTCAAAGGTACATTACAAAGAGGCACAAATATAGGAAGGGGAATAATTATGGCCATTTATGCAAATAATCTATCACACATCAGCATATGTTTTTTAAAAGGGTATCTGATAACTTAAATGTCTGGAGTCCCTGTGGGTAGTTTCTATTACCTAGTGTTTATGCTAGTTTCATTCATATGGTCTTATTTCATTTATGATCAGTTATTTCTGATTGTGTACTTTTATTTCCAAAATAAGTAGTATGGCAAAATTGTTGCTAGAATATTCTGAAGACTGAAATGATATTACTTTATCCTAGAAAATTTTTACCTTCACTTCCTCTAGCTACACGGCAGGCCTAGATCATCTCGATCCAATACAGGGGATAAATTCTGCAGCTGAGCTACACAGTCCGTATGAGGGACCATCTATCTCTGATCCGACTTTACTCCTAGAGTGTAGCGAGTTGGGGCCCCAACCCATTGCTGAGAGTTCACCAAGGCCACATCTCCCTGACTCAATGCTATTAGAAAGGTCCCTTAAACACCTGGCTGCCCCTTTGCAAGTAATACCAAGGAGAACATGACCCAAACACTGGGCACGCTTTCCTGAGGTGCACCTCTTGCTCTGACCCTTGAGTCACCCCACCGTGCCTTCACCGGTGCCTCAAGATAATATTCTCTACATTTCCTCAGCTTTCTTTCCTAGCTGGGTGGTTTTAGCTTAGGGACTGTCCTGATGCTGCAGTAAGATATCGGCCTGGGCTTGCATCTAATTGACTTGCATCTTATAGAATGTGACAGAAAAGATGGAGTATGACTAGGTCACAAAACATACGCAGCTTTCACCTAGCTCTCTAGCTGCCGTGATGTAAAGACACTTAAGCAGCCCTATGAAGACCCATGCGGTGAGTGACAGGCACCCACATGAGAGAGCCATCTCAAGGCAGACCCTCCGGCCTCAGGCAAGCCTTCCTATGACTGCGGCCCAGGCCGGTATCTTACTGCAGCATCAGGACAGTCCCTAAGCTAAAACCACCCAGCTGAGCCACCCTTGAATCCTGACCTACAAACTGAGATGATAAATGCTGTTTAAGCCGCTTAATTTTTGGTTAATAGTTTTGCATTAATAGTTAATAGAGTATGATTATTTTTAAATTTTATATTCTTATTCTATTACTTTAAATGTAATATTCTTTTTATTTGAAAAGAAATTTAAATTAATAGCTGAAAACCTTTAAGTAGTATTTAAATAGAAAAGATTTGATTACTTACTTTATTACTTTTTTTATTCCTAACTGGAAGCAGAGTCTTTCAAAACAGATGAAGTCATTTCCACAATAGTATTGATAGGCAAGCCATTCAGAAAGCCTTTATGACTCCCTCTTACTTTCTGAAGAGCGTCTATGACACGGTCTCTATGCAGAAGGAAAGCATGCGTGAGCACTGCCCTTTCCAAAGTGGCGTGTTCTAACATGGCTGAGTTATTGAACAGAGCTGTACTTGACACACCAATTTTAAAACCAGTTAAAACGTAACTGTCATCATTACCTGCTAAGTTCTGGATGTAGTTCAGCCAGTCTCTTCATGATCTTGGTAAAGCTACGCAGGTTCAATGTATTTGTAGGTATGAATCGAACAGGTGTCTCAGGTAATAATTTAGGAGATTCAATCTGTTTACAAGTCTTCTTGACACTCTAAATAAGCATTTTGAAAGCTTTGTAAAAATCAGTAACCATTACATAGAGACAACCCAGCTTCCTCAATTAAATTTTAAAATTACAAATAGTAAAATCAAAATTCCTAAGAAACTTACCTTATTTGGGATTATTAAAACGAAATAGATTTACTTGAGTTGTGTTCAGGGTCATGAATTGACAATGCCATACATGTTTTCTTACAGAAGTGATAGAGTACAAGAGGGTATGTCTAAATCAGCCCTTCTCAACTGGGATTCCTCATCTGAACCACAGAACACAGAAACTGATGCTAACTATTTTCTCAATTTTCCCAAATATAGGACAAAAGTAGTTCCATTTTAGATGCACAGGAGAAAGGTTAATTCATTACATACACGATATGTTAGGTTTAGGGCATGAAGGCTTAATTCTCTTACCCACGCTGAGAGAAACAGGCTGGTCTACACAGTAATTATAAATAGTCTACATTTTACTTACTAAAATGTAATGAATACAAAGTACTTATGAATGTGCTGTGGGGGTTAAACTAGTGATATAAAAATAGAATTTCTCCACTTATGGATAGTATAATCCAACTGAAGAGATAAACTAAAATGATTGATTAATTACTATTAACTACTGAAGTAGACTATAAATTGGTTGAAACCACTGTAAGCTCCATAATAATACAAGGAAGCAGTGACACTTTAAAGCCTAGATGAAAAGTCACAAGAAATGAGTAAAATATTGTGTCTGTCACATCAGAATATCCTATGTTTAACTTTTTTGCTTATTGCCTTATCTCCTTCACTAGACTTAATCTCTGCAAGGGCAGGTGATGGTCTGTTAGTTCACTGCTACACATTTCCCAGTGCCTGGGATAATTACAGAGCTGGTAGGCAATGACTGTTGAATAAATAAAAACTGGGGATACAGTAGTTCAAGTGACAGTTGAAACCACAGACAGGATGAGATTTCCAAGCTTGAGCCCAATTACTGGTAAATAACAACAGCTACTATTTATTGAGTACATTCACTGTGCCAGGTACTGTTCTAAGAATTTTCCTGTGTTAAAGTCACTCAAATCTCACAACATTTATGAGATGCGAAGTATTATCATTATCCCCATTTTACAATAAGCAACTCAGACACACAGGTTAGGTAACTTGCCGAGTCACACGATGAGTAGATGGGCAGAGCCTCTTATAGACAATAAATTTTTTCTAAATGAATATAATGAATAAATGTGGAGAATCTGAGAAAAAGGTGACCTCACACATTATATAAAAATTAACTTACAATCTTTGTGACCATGGGGTATGCAAAGATTTCTTAGATACAATAAAAGCACAAGTTAAAACAAGAAAAAGCTGGTAAACTATACTTCATCAAAATAAAAAAAGTCCTGCTCTGAGAAACACAGTATTAAAAAATGTAAAGACTAAGTAGAGGCTATGAAAAAGTATTTGTAGATCACATGTCTGATAAAGGATTTATATTCAGAATATAAAAAACTCTAAAAACTCATAAGAAAGTAAACCACCCAATAAAAATAGTCAAAACATAAACATGAATGAACTGCTGATACACACACAGATCAATCTCAAATGCACCAAGCTAAGTGAAAGAAGCCAGGCTCATAAGGTTGCATATTATTTGTCTGCATACATTCTACAAAAGGAAAAATTACGGAAGGAAACAGCAAAGCACAAAAGAATGTTTTGGAATGATGGAACTGTTCTGTATCCTGATTGTGGTGGTAGTTACATACCTTTATGCAGCTGTCTAACCACAGACACTAAAGACTGCATTTTACTGTTATGTATATTTTTAAAAAAATCTGTGGAATGCCTGTAGGATGTCAAACATTTTAACAGCAGTGGAAAGAGAAGAGCGAACAAGACAACTTCATCACCTCCCACATGGTACTTAAAACCTCAATAATGTAAAAATGAGGGCATGTATCATCAAAGTGACTATAGCTTATGGTTTTAAAATTATGGACTAAGATTGGCTGTGAAGGCAGAGCCAAGATGGCGGCGTGAGTAGAGCAGCAGAAATCTCCTCCCAAAACCACATATATTTTTGAAAATACAACAAAGAAAACTCTTCCTAAAAGAGAGACCAGAAGACACAGGACAACAACTAGCTCTCTAGCTGCCGTGATGTAAAGACACTTAAGCAGCCCTATGAAGACCCATGCGGTGAGTGACAGGCACCCACATGAGAGAGCCATCTCAAGGCAGACCCTCCGGCCTCAGGCAAGCCTTCCTATGACTGCGGCCCAGGCCGATATCTTACTGCAGCATCAGGACAGTCCCTAAGCTAAAACCACCCAGCTGAGCCACCCTTGAATCCTGACCTACAAACTGAGATGATAAATGCTGTTTAAGCCGCTTAATTTTTGGTTAATAGTTTTGCATTAATAGTTAATAGAGTATGATTATTTTTAAATTTTATATTCTTATTCTATTACTTTAAATGTAATATTCTTTTTATTTGAAAAGAAATTTAAATTAATAGCTGAAAACCTTTAAGTAGTATTTAAATAGAAAAGATTTGATTACTTACTTTATTACTTTTTTTATTCCTAACTGGAAGCAGAGTCTTTCAAAACAGATGAAGTCATTTCCACAATAGTATTGATAGGCAAGCCATTCAGAAAGCCTTTATGACTCCCTCTTACTTTCTGAAGAGCGTCTATGACACGGTCTCTATGCAGAAGGAAAGCATGCGTGAGCACTGCCCTTTCCAAAGTGGCGCGTTCTAACATGGCTGAGTTATTGAACAGAGCTGTCCTTGACACACCAATTTTAAAACCAGTTAAAACGTAACTGTCATCATTACCTGCTAACTTCTGGATGTAGTTCAGCCAGTCTCTTCATGATCTTGGTAAAGCTACGCAGGTTCAATGTATTTGTAGGTATGAATCGAACAGGTGTCTCAGGTAATAATTTAGGAGATTCAATCTGTTTACAAGTCTTCTTGACACTCTAAATAAGCATTTTGAAAGCTTTTTAAAAATCAGTAACCATTACATAGAGACAACCCAGCTTCCTCAATTAAATTTTAAAATTACAAATAGTAAAATCAAAATTCCTAAGAAACTTACCTTATTTGGGATTATTAAAACGAAATAGATTTACTTGAGTTGTGTTCAGGGTCATGAATTGACAATGCCATACATGTTTTCTTACAGAAGTGATAGAGTACAAGAGGGTATGTCTAAATCAGCCCTTCTCAACTGGGATTCCTCATCTGAACCACAGAACACAGAAACTGATGCTAACTATTTTCTCAATTTTCCCAAATATAGGACAAAAGTAGTTCCATTTTAGATGCACAGGAGAAAGGTTAATTCATTACATACACGATATGTTAAGTTTAGGGCATGAAGGCTTAATTCTCTTACCCACGCTGACAGAAACAGGCTGGTCTACACAGTAATTATAAATAGTCTACATTTTACTTACTAAAATGTAATGAATACAAAGTACTTATGAATGTGCTATGGGGGTTAAACTAGTGATATAAAAATAGAATCTCTCCACTTATGGATAGTATAATC